TTCTTTTGAAAATATTCAAAGCAAACTCGAAAGCGTTGTCAAAAACCTCATCGGTACCCTTATCCTGTTGCTCTTCTTCATTGTCTAACAAATATACAAATAATAAAAGGCGCACTTATATTAGAGGAAAGATTTGATATGAACACAGTGTTTGTAGGAGGAAGAGCGATAGAGAAACGTAGGAGAGTGGAGAGGTTTTTAAAAACTTGAAAAAACTCATCTGATTTATGAGTTCTTTTCACACACCAAACTCATTACACTACATGGTTTTTATATCTACTACAATACTTTATCATTTATTTAGGTAATTATAAGGTTCTTGAACATTGAAACATCTAGAGAAATCATGATTAACTCTAGAATTCCAAACATCACGACTCTAGACCTTCTATCTCACTGATTTATGACTCTTTATTTGTAACTTAAATTTGGTTAAATCTTCCAACATTGCCTCCCTTAAACCAAATTTTCTTTTGATTCCTAGTCTTGCAACATCTCGCTTAAACACTTGTCCACCAAGTGCTTTTGTGAACACGTCTACCATTTGTTCATCTGTTTTGCAATTCTTTAGCTGTATAACTCCATCACTAACAAGCTCCCTTAGAAAATGAAAGCGGATGCGGATATGCTTTGTTCTCCCATGTAGAACAAGATCTTTTGAGACTGAAATTGTTGAGCTATTGTCACAGAACAAAGTGGTTGGACGCTTTTGTTTATGTATCAGATTCTCCAAAATGCCAAGTAGCCAAACTGTGCGACATCCTGCAAGAGAGGCAGCTATGTACTCCACTTCCGTTGTGGAGAGGGCAACAATCGGTTGCTTCCTCGAACTCCTTGAAATCACGCCACTTCCCAAACTAAAGACATAACCTGAAGTACTTTTGCAATCATCAATACTTCCAGCTAAATCACTGTCAGTATAGCCAATAAGTTTCACTGGAACATTTGCTTCATAAAAAATGCCATAATCAACGGTTCCTTTGATGTATTGCTAAATTGTTTTTGCAGCTTCCCAATTATTTGAATGTGGCTTTTCCATAAACCTGCTCACCAAACTTACTGCATACATGATGTCTGGTCTTGTGGCCGTTAAGTACATCAAATTACCCACCAAACTGCGAAACTTGGTGGAATCGATAAGTCTCCCTTCACCATTTTTGCTTGGCTTTAGACTTGTAATGCATGGTGTCACTACTGGGTTTGCATTCTCCATCCCAAATTTCTTCATAACTTCTTTGGCATAACTCTCTTGAGAAATGAAAATGCCTTTCTTAGATTGAGAAACTTCAATACCAAGAAAGTGATGTAGCTTGCCCAAATCTGTCATCTCAAATTCTTTCATCTCAAATTCTTTCATCATAGAGAGCTTAAAATCATTCAATAACTCCCATTTCCGGTAAAGATAAGATCATCCACATAAAGACTTACGACCATGAAACTTCCTTGTGAGGTGCTTTTGACACAAAGTATGTTCATATGGGCACTTCTGAAAACCATGCTTCTCGAAGTATGAATTAATACAGTTGTACCATGCACGTGGTGATTGCTTGAGCCCATATAATGCCTTCTTAAGCTTGTAAACTTTATTTTCCTCTTCTTTCTTCACATATCCAGGTGGCTTCTCCAAATAAACTTATTCTTGAAGGACACCATTCAAGAGTGCAGACTTTACATCCATTTGAAAAATTTCCCAATTGTTTTGTGTAGCAAGGGAGATGATCAGTCGAATAATGTCAAGTCTGGAAACATGAGCAAAAATTTCAGTATAGTCTTCACCTTCCTTTTGCTTATAACCATTTGCAACGAGTTTCGCCTTGTACTTGTTAATGGACCCATCTGCATTTTTCTGTGTCTTATATACCCATTTAACACCAATAGAATTCTTGTGTGATGGCAGATTTGTGAGCTCCCAAGTCCCATTCTTCTCAATAGCCTTTATTTCTTTATCCATGGCTTGCTTCCATTTTTCCTCTTCACATGCTTCATTAAATGAAATTGGATCCTCTCCAGCAAAGAAGGCAAAGAATATAGTATTATCCTCTAACTCTACTTGCTCTGAAGAGTCATAAAGATCTCGTATACTTCTGAACTTTCTTGGAGGCGAGTCATCATCACTTGATGTAGCTCTTGGAGATTGAGGAGCAATTTTTTATTGATAAGTTTCATCTTCTTCTTGCATAATAGGCAATTTTGCTAGGCCATTTTCTTCTTCAAAGAAAGCATTTTCATCAAAGTGGACATCACGACTGATCAAGAACTTTTTGGTCTTCAAATTGTATAGCTTGTAAGCCTTGCTCCTTTCACTATATCCAATGAAAATGCACTTTTCTGCCTTATGGTCAAGCTTGTTTCTCAACTCCTTTGGAACATGGGAATAGGCAACACAATCGAAAATCTTCAAATGTTGCACTATCGGCCTCACTCCATACCATGCTTCATAAGGTGTGCAATCCTTCAAACTCTTTGTTGGTGATCTGTTGATTAAATATACATCACAAGAAACAGCTTATGCCCAAAGTTCTTGTTGCAATCTTTTCTTCTTAAGCATGCATCTCACCATCTCCATGATTGTCCGGTTCTTTCTTTCGCTCACGCCATTTTGTTGTGGTGTATATTGGGCTGTCAATTGGTGCTTTATTCCATGATCTCTGCAATATTTTTTAAACTCATTCGAAAGATACTCTCCACCATGATCTGTCCTCAAACTTTTGATTGGAAGGCTAACAAACTTTTCAACTTCAGCCTTAAAATCTTTAAAGGCTTGAAATGCTTCAGATTTTTCTTTGAGGAAGTAAACCCAAACTTTTCTTGAGAAATCATCAATAAATGTAATGAAATATAGATTACCTCTAAAAGATGCTACTGGCATTGGACCACACAAGTTAGAATGAATAAGCTCTAATGGCTTATTTGCTCACTAAGAGGACTCTGAAGGAAATGAACTTCTATGTTGCTTACCAAATTGACAATCTTCACAAACGCCATCCACCGGATCAATTTGAGGCAACCCATGTACCATTCTTCTGTTTGACAGCAACTTTAAACTTCCATAATTTAAATGGCCATATCTATCATTCCATAACTTAGATACTTCTTTTTCAGCACTCACAAAACACAATAGTTTTGTTGTATGGAGCTTCAAAGGAAACAAGTTATTTGCAGTAAGTCCAACCTTAGCAACAAATTTATCCTTCCTTTTGAGAATACAAAAATCACCACAGAGGCGAATATCATAACCTTTCCTCAATAGATGACTCATACTCAATAAATTACTCTTCAAACCAAGAACATAATAGACTTCATAAACTTTCTCAATTATTCCAGATTTTGATTTGAAAGACACCTCACCAATTCCCTCAATTTTATAGGCTCTATCATCACCAATTCTTACTTGACCATGATCAAACTTATAGAGGGCAGAAAAAAAGGTTTTTGTTACCTGTCATATGCTTGCTAGCTCCACTATCCAAATATCACACATCATTCATTTGATCTCCATGACATGCAAGCAATAAAGTTTCTTTATAATCATCATCTCTAGAATTGGTTTGATGTATATAACTTGCTCCATATTGTTTTTCATCATTAGCCTTTTTTAACCTACATTCTCTGATCTTGTGCCCAATTTGTTGCGGTAGTAGTATCATTCCGGAGTGCCACGTCCTCTTCCTCTTTGAAAAACACGTCATCTTCCTCGGTATGAATTGAAATTTCTTTCACCTTCATTTTTGGAATTGCTTGATGAGCCTTGTTCATTGCCATAAGAATTAGTGCCTCTACCATTCAAATTTCTTCCTCTACCTCTTCTGCCTCTTCCACCTCTTCCACATTTGAAGCTTTGATTAGGGCTAGAAGCTTGATTGCCATTGCCTCCCGTAGTTGCAACTTGAGACTTGAGTGCTTGATAAGGTTGAGTAGCAGGAGGATTCCTCAAATTAATTTGATCTCATGTTACTCCAATTTTCCTTGTACCTCTTCCATAGAAAAAGTTGAAATATCATTTGACTCTTCGATCGCAGCCACAACATAATCGAGTTTCGTAGGTAAGCTACGGAGAATTTTCTCAACAATTCTTGCATCTTCGAGAATCTCCCCATTTAAAGCCATTTGATTAACGACAAAGGTAACTCTGATAAAGTAGTCTTTGATTGTCTCATCTTCTTTCATCTCTAACTTTTCAAATTCTTTCCTTAAAGATTTCAGGCGAACCTTCTTTTACCTTCTCCTTACCTCTGTAGGCATTTTCGATCATATCCCATGCTTGCTTTGCATTCTCGGCTGTTGCAACTCTTTCATATACTTGCATCTCAATGGTTTGATAGATGTGGAAAAGTGCCTTGCTGTCCTTCTTTCAGTTCTCCCTCAAAGTATTCATCTGCGCTTGAGTTAACGCAGCTTCATTATCCGTCTCTTCATAGCTTGCTTCAACAATATTCCATAGCTCCAAAGCCTTCAACAACACCTTCATATTGTTGCTCTAGTAGTTGTACATATCACCACCAAATCGAGGAATTAGTGAAGCCAAGTTGTGACCATTTGCATTTGCATTCGCCATATTGACAAAACTTCAACACGGCTCTGGTACCAATTTGTAGGAGGAAGAGGAAGAGGGATAGAGAAATGTAGAAGAGTGGAGAGGTTTTTAAAAACTTGAAAATACTCTTTTGATTTCTGATTTCTTTTCACACACCAAACTCATTACACTACATGGCTTTTATAGCCACTACAATACATCATCATTTATTTAGGTAATTATAAGGTTCTTGAACATTGAAATATCTAGAGAAACCATGATTAACTCTAGAATTCCAAACATCACAATTCTAGACCTTCTATCTCCCTGATTTATGACTCTTTATTTGTAACTTAAAATTGGTTTAATCTTCCAACGGTGTTTCAATGGAGCATAATTTACCAGTGGAGACACCGTGAATTGTTTCATTTTCTTGTTTTTTCTTTTGAAAATAGTATGAGTATAATTCAATGCAATAGAAACAACATATATGCGCCTTCATCAGAGTCCCCAATGAGGTTCTTCCACCCTCTTCATAACGTACATAAATGTAGATGTTTGGATTAAAACTTAAACTTTGGGCTCGAAAGGGAATTAGCCCAGACGAAGGAATGGAAAGCAAGAAGCCCAAGGCTCAGCCGAAGCCCAGAAGGCGGAAAAGGCCTTTTTCCCGACTAAATGCAGATCACTCAAGTCACCTGCTCACCTACCTAAAGGTCAGGTGATGTAGACCAGCCAGCTAATCAGCCCAAAAGTACTTTACAGTGGCAGTAGAAGTAAAAAGCTGATGAGTCACTACCTTTCAGCAGCATTCAGGCAAAATTGAAGGTGCAGCCAGCCAAGCCAAATCGTCTATAAAATGAGGAAGGAGAATCAGAGACAAGGACACTAAATCAAACAAACAAATACAAGCACAAACTTTACTCAAACCAGATTTGCCTTCACGAAGCTGTAGTTAGCCCCCCAAACCTTCATCCCTTTCGAGATTAACTCTCACCCAAAAAGCCTTTGTAAAAGCTCTACTACCCTGTCTAAATCTTGTTGTAGTATCGATTTCTTCCTAAAATTCACCTTCCAATCTCCCCTTCTAGCACTAAACCCTTTTGTAAATCACAAAGAGAGGGAATTGCAAGACTATCAGCCTTACTTGACAAGGTGAAACCTTGCCCGACCTCCTTTGTTTTTGTCTTTTCATTCATAGATCTAGTAATATGATGTATATTTCCATCTGCATCCAAGTTATTTCTAGCCAGTTTATGATTAAAAGACTTCTAAGTTCTAACCAGTCGGGCAAACAAGATTGATCAATTAAAAGTCCTTGGTCTCAAGGCATAAAAAAAAAGCCTCATGTTGACTTAACCCACCCACGACAATCCTTAATAACAAGAAGTCTGAAGTTACTTGGGGCGCAAGTAATTAGCCTATTTCTCAGTCTTACTTCTGTTATATCATGATTGCTACAGAACGCTAGAGTATAGAATTAATTCTGATGGGAAGCCTCAAGGCCTACACCTAAGGCCCTACAAAGGCACCTATTTGGATTCATTCTACTTTTAGGGCTCAGGCGATCAAAGTATAACAGTTGTAATACTTCTGCAAAGAATGAAACAACTACTATATGTTTAAGTACAAAGTTAGTTTGCAAGCCTCAAGGCCTACACCTAAGGCCCTACAAAGGCACTTTTCATAACTAACTCGGTCTCTCGGGCATATATAATTACAACTAAACATCTGTTTTACATCTGTCATGCTGAAGATAGTAGTGGCACGCCTGAATAATCCAAAGTTAGTTTTGATTGCGAGCCTCAAGGCCTACACCTAAGGCCCCACAAAGGCACCTTTCAGAACTAACTCTGTCCTTCTCTTACAGCCTGCTAATAAGCATAAGCCCGACAGACAATATCAACCGGCGCCAAACCTCTTGAGGAGCTGTGTGCTCGTTGGTCAGGAAACATCCCCACGGGATATTCCTCCAGGCGAACAATAGATTTTCACTATAAAATGGATGGAGGGAGCAAAGGAAGTATATTCCTGGTAAATACTCCCACAAAGACAAATTTCCACCAATAACACATGGATAAAAGGGATCTGCAGTGGTGTTAATATTACTCTCTTGATGCCCTTGCACAAGCTTGACAACAAAGTCCTTCAGCCGAAATCCATCACCCTCATAACCAATTTGCGGTCTCATAATTACCGAAACCTCCACTTCATCTCCTCCTCCTAATGTCTGATTCTCCATTTTCCAATGGCTCAACCATGTCATTTCTTCTCCCTTTTCTGGAACACCATAGAATAGTGGGCCATAGATCCACTTCAGACCCTTGCTCTTATTACCTACTTTAATCGTCATTGGATCATAGATACAATCGTCGACAACTTCAGATTCAGAATAATTAATATAATTTTCATAGACAGCAAAGATATTTAAGCCTCTGTGATCAGGAAATAAAGGCACAGTAAATGATATTGAGGATGACCCTCCACTTTTGCAGTTCAACCGGCCTGGAACTTCATTCCTCTGAAAAAAATTCATTCCCCGGCAAAAATGTGCTGAATATACCATATCGATGCAGTCCCTATATACGCGCTAAAGAAATCACAACATTATCTAGTCAACTCTTTCCAATTATATAAATATATGAGAGAGAGAAAGAGAAAGCACCTTGACGGGAGTCCAATCAGAGTCATTCAAATAAATTCGATCGAGTTTGTGCATCCGAATGTTTGGCAGGGATTCCAAGGTGCACAAGCCCAAAAGTCTAACCATTTCTACCTCAACTCTTTCGATGGGTTCTAACTTGTACCAATACTGCTACTCAACTAGGTTGTCGGTGTCACCCCCAATGGTGTGGCGTTCAGGAGACCAATTAAAAGACTGATCCAGCAGATATGTTACTTTTTCTAATGATTTATAACAACTGACATTCATAAGTTGGCATCCTTTTGGTAACCCCGCAAGTGATTTAAGCCTCGTACACCGCACAAAAGAGAGATAATCGAGCCTTGTTAAATCTCTCATGCAATTTGGCAGGCTAGAAATTGGATTATTATCTAGATATAGTCTTCGCAACGAGGACAGACTACTAAAATCCCTAGGAAAGGCATCTCAGAAAGATTGCACTCACGGAGATCTAAATCTACTAAAGAGCATGGCAAAGAACTCAAGATACTTAAACATCGTTCTGGCCATAATTCACTTAATGGAATTACATCTGTTTCAAGAACTTTCAGGGATTCTATTTTCTTCATCATCTCCACTCCAAACACATCAAGATTTGAGCAACCAGATAAAATGAGCTTTTCAAGTGATTTAAGCATGCACATGTTCTTCGGAAGCATCCCAAGATTCTTACAATCCTTCATATTCAAGCACACAAGTCTCTCCAGGTTTCCGATGGATTCATGAACAACAATCAGGCTTGTGCAATCTACAAAAATCAGTTCTTCTAGACTGGGGCAAAGTGAGAAGTCCATGATTTCAGTGAGGCCATGAGAATGGCTGACGTCAAGGATCTTCAATGATGGCAGAAACTATGGAAAATAAAAGCAAACAAACAAAAAATGTGTGTAGGAGTTACTTCTAACATAACTAATTAGTCAAAGAATTAAAACCTAAAGAAATAAAGGGAAAGAAATTGAAAAGAGTAGAGTAGCGTACTTTTATTCCTTTGAAGACTTGTCTCAAGCTGGTATATTGCATTTCAAGAAATACCACTTTCTCCAAAGAAAAGTCAACAGGAATTGAATACAAAGGAAATTCGGGCCAGCACAACCATCTTAACCCTGTAGGAATTTCTGCATAACATCCATCCAATAGTACATGTCTAAGACGGAGTAGTTTTAGTTTGTGCATTCTTGCAAATGCATTGGTTCCCAAGACAGTTTCTTTTGAGCTTCTGGGAATGTTTGCCAGCAGTTTATACATATCCAAGATAAGACCTTCAATTGCTAGCGTACCCTATAAAAGAAATGGGAAAAACAATTGGTTAAATAGCACAAGAGAAAAAGAAATGTACTGGGAAAAACAATTGGTTAAATAGCACAAGAAAAAATACAATGAACATTTCTTACATTCTTTTCTCTCAACACTTAGAAAGAATCCTTAGGGTGCCATAATCTAATACGATTCCCCGGCTCATCTGATTCTCGACGAACAATTTCTCGTCCCATGTCACAAATCACGTCATGCATAGACAACTTTGTTATCCACATCTATTGTCACCAAGCACCTATCCCTGAGATTTTGAATGCCACGGATTGTATAGAAGTCACATCCATTTAGTATTCTAACAATGTAATCTTCATCCTTTCCAATAAAGAAACAAGCAATAAGGAGAAATAATTTCTGGTCATGGTCATCTTGTAAAGAGTCGTAGCTTATTCTCAATTTATTCACGATTTCACCATTTGGAATAACTTCTAACTTCTCCAACGTACTTTTCCATACACATTTAAGTTCTCTAAAAAGAGAAAAACCCAAAACTTTGAGAGCTAATGGAAGTCTTCCACTGTGTTGTACGACCTCTTCAGAATATTCCTCATAACCTTCAAGGGGATGATCCTGGCAAAAAGCATGCCAGCTTAAGAGCTCCAATGATTCATCAAAACTCAAAGGTGCAACACCACGCACCTTGATACCTTCCTCTTCCTTTAGCAACCTTTCACACCTAGTTGTTATGATTATTTTACTTCCAGGATAAAACCGATCTTTCATCCTTAGTGTTGCATCTGATTGGTTCATATGGTCCACATCATCAAGAACAATAAGAACTCCTCTAGAGCTTATGGCTCTTTCAATCTTACTTATTCCCTCACTAACATTGTGTATTTTCTCATTTTCCCCTTTACAATATCATAAAGAATTTGCTTTTGAATTTGAACTAAGCCGTTCTGTTGATTTGCAGTTTCTCTGATATTTTCGACATGGCTGCTTCCTTCAAAGCTTCTAAAGTTTGAATTGTAAACATGCTTTGCAATGGTTGTCTTCCCTATTCCAGGAATACCATAAACAACAAGTGTACCAACATGTTGTAACCATAAATTAATGTCTTCGACTCAAGAATGTATTCCAATCAATTTTGATTCAACACTCAAGGGTGTGCAACTTAGCTTGTCACTAATTACTTTCACAATATCTTTGATAAACTTTGACTCGTACCTAGGAATTTCCAAACAAAATGAAAAATATATCAAACATGTTGTCTACTTTATATTGATCAGGTATGTCTCACAAATTGGATGAATGAATAATGAATTGGGGAATTTAGATAATTAAAACATATGTTGATGGCCTTTATTTAAAAAAGAAAAGAAGGAATACAACACAAAACTTTACTAACTGTAGACAAATAGAGAACAAAATACATCCCAACTTTTTCCTCACCAGCTAAATTACCTATGAATTATCAACATGAATGAAAATTACCTATTAATATTCACTACTGAGATTGAATAAAAAAAACATATACATATAAAAATCAAGGTCCCTACGGATCATATATCAAATTAGATAAAATTGTTTAGGGTTTGAAGTGTATGTTTATTCTTCTCTCTAGGAGGTAAATATATAGTTGTACAATATCCCACATAACAGGAAATAAGAATCCCAATTATATAAGGAATAAATTATAGGATTACATTCCTAAACTAAATGGTTGACTCACGCCAACACTCCCCCTTAAGTTGATGCATAGATAGCTCCTAAGCCCAACTTGTCAAGTGAGTCTTGAAACACCCTTGCTGAAACCGCATGAGTTGACACATCTGCAACTTGTTCTTTGGACCTCATGTATGGAATATCAATCAATTTGACATCTAACTTCTCTTTGATTAAGTGTCTATCTACCTCCACATGCTTTGTACGATCATGCTAAATGAGATTATTGGCTATTTCTCTCGCAGCTTGATTGTCGCAGTATAATAACATAGCTCCCTGAGGTTTGTACCCAATCTCAGTGACAAGAATCCTAAGCCATAACAATTCACAAATTCCATGTACCATCCATCTGTACTCTACCTCGGCCATGGATCTAGCCACTACATTTTGCTTCTTGCTTCTCCAAGTTACCAAATTTCCTGCTACGAATGTGAAGTAGCCTGATGTGGAGCGACGATCAATAATGTTTCATGTCCAATCAGCATCAGTATACCCCTTTACCTCCATATGTCCATACTTCCTAAAGATTAGTCCTTTACCAAGTGCACCTTTCAAATAACTCAATATACGCATCACTGCTACCATGTGATCCTCACTAGAAGCATGCATGAACTGACTTACAACACTAACTGCATACGCAATATCCGGACGTGTAAGTGATAGGTAAATCAACCGTCCAACCAATCTCTGACATCTTTCTTTATTGGTAGGAACTTGATCATGGTATATCGCCAGGTGATCATTCTGCACAATGGGAGTTTCAACTGGTTTACAAGCCAACATTCCAGTTTTAGGGAGAAGATCAAGAACATATTTCCGCTGAGACAAATTAATACCATCACAAGAACAAGTAACTTTAATACCCAAGAAGTAGTTCAAGCCTCTTAGATCCTTCATCTCAAATTCTGATGAAAGATACCCTTGCAGCCTTTTTATCTCTTCTATGTCATCACCAGTAACTACCATATCATCCACATAGATAATTAACAAAGTAACTTTACCTCTCATGCGTTTGATGAATAGGGTGTGGTCCGCATTTCCCTGTCTATAGCCGTACTTTTTCATTGCTTCAATGAACCTTGCAAACCATGCTCTAAGTGATTGTTTGAGTTCGTAGAAAGCCTTTCGAAGTCTACATACTTTCCCTGCTTCATTCAGTGTTTCATATCCTGGTGGAAGATCCATGTATACTTCTTCTTCTAGATCTCCATGTAAGAAAGCATTCTTCACATCGAACTATTTTAAAGGTCAATCCAGGTTAGCTGCTAAAGATAAAAGGACTCAAATAGTATTCATTTTTGTGACCGAAGCAAACGTTTCTTGGTAGTCAACTCCAAATGTTTGTGTGTACCATTTAGCTACCAATCTTGCCTTGTATCTATCAATGGATCCATCCCCCTTGTGTTTTATGGTGAACACCCGTTTACATCCCACTAGTCTCTTCCCTTGTGGTATTGACACTACATTCCACGTTCCGTTTCTTTGTAAGGCTTCCATTTCTACTCCCATGGATTCTACCCAACGGGGGTCTCACAAAGCCTCTTCCACTTTTGTTGGAATTATAATCCCAGCCATTTGATTCACCATGGCTTGGTACTTGGGTGATAGTCGATGAGTGGACACATATTGTGTAATTGAATATCTCACTTTTCCTTCCGGAGAAAACCTGTTAGGTGGTTTCCCACGGTTTTGCCTATGAGGTAAAATATAGAAATTTTCAAAAATATATGGAGTATGAGAACGTACCTCTTGGATATCCGTGGGGACATGAGCGTGTACTAGTGGAGGAGAATGAGGGTTATTTTCTGTTTACACAATTTCGGTATCACTCGCAAACCCATTACCTTTTACTAAATCCATAAATGGTGTAGGCCTACAATTCGATGTTGCATGAGCTATCTCTCGGTCAGGGGTTTCATGGTCAAGATCCACTGGGCTTTGGCTTGTTGTGTCGTTGGCCACTAACAGGTTCTGAACTGCATTATCGTGGCCTACTGTTGGGCTTTGAATTGATGTGTCGCGACCCTTTGGTAAGGCACGGTCATGTGGGTTGCTCATAACACCAAAGTCTTCAGTCTCAGTCTCGCATGTACTACTGGGACCATGCCAACTGTCTCATTCATGTGGAACATCAAACCAAATGTAGTCTCCGTATTTATTATTCAACTCCCCCTGAAGAGTACAGTGGGTTTGATCAGAGATGAAGAACATCTCGGTTTCAGAAAACGTCACATCCATGGCGACATAGAAATACTTAGTAGGTGGATGGTAACATCGATATCCCTTTTTTGGCTATTAAATCCCAGAAATACACAACGAACAGCACACGGATCCAATTTACTCCATTGATTCTTGTGAAGATGCACATAAGCCACACATCTAAATATGCGAGGTGATAATTGAAGAGAAGATGGTAGAGTGACATAATCCGTCAAGACTTCCATGGGAGTTTGGAAGTTGTGAACTCGAGAGGGCATTCAATTAAGAAGATAAACAGAATACGTAACTGCATCCGCCCAATAGGCATGAGGAGCATGAGCCCTAATTCGAAGAGCCCGTGTAGTTTCCAAGATATGTTTGTTCTTACGTTCTGCCACACCATGTTGTTGAGGATCTTGAGGACAAGTAGTCTCGTGAAGTATGTCATGCTCTACGAAAAAATTATGATAGTTCAGAATTAAGATATTCCCCACCATTATCGGATCTCAGGACTTTGATAGGAAGAGAAAATTGATTTCCAATCATCTGATAAAATTGTTGGAAAATTTGCCCAACGTCACTATTCTGTTTCATGGTATAGAGCCAAGTCATTCTGGTGCAATCATCTACAAAGGTAACAAATGACCGAATACCGTGGCGCATCGCTGTTGGAGAGGGACCCCATACATCGAAGTGAATTAACTCAAAGGGCACTGATCTTTTATTGAGACTAAAGTGGTAAGAAGTATTATAACTTTTTGCAAGAATGCATTCCTGACACTGAAAATCAGGGTCTCAAACGCCATTAAATAAAGACGGAAGTAATTTTCTTAAATAACCAAAAGATGTATGTCCTAGTCGACAATGCCATAACCAGACTCTCTTAACCTTGTTGTTGTGACCATTGCTCATTTGGTTGACTTGGCCCAGTACCACATCATCCACATAATATAACCCTCTCCTCTTAGTACCACGCCCAATGAACCCCCATGTTTGGATATCCTGTAATAGGCAAAAAGTGGGAAACATGAGTACAGCACAATATAATTGTTCCGTAACTTGACCAATAGAAGTAAATGATTCGATAGTGAAGGAACAAGAAGAGCGTTATGCAGAGATAGAAATGGAGTAAGGGCGATAGAACCCGCTCCTGTAACTGGAGCAATTTCACTGTTTGTTGTGATAACATTCTCTTTGGATGGCACGGTTAAGTGGTGAAACAAGGATTCATCATATGTCATATGGTTTGTAGCCCCAGAGTCAATTATCCAGCTAGAATCTCGGTTAGCGGATGTTGTGAATGCAGTGCCAATTTTACTTTGATCATCAGATTGTTCTTGGGACGAAATCAAATTCAATAATGAAAGTTGCTGGCCCATACTCTCTGGCCCACATGGCTATTCCAGTACGCAGCGAATTGTTGCTTGGTTGGACTCACACCGAATTTGCTGCTTCTCTCCATGCTTGATTGATGCACTGTTGGACACTGGGCTCCAGGCTCTGCAAGCCTAGCCCGCTGGAGATCACTGCCGCAAGGAATCATGCCTTGGTGCTTGTCGGCCATGGAAGCAATGGTCTATTTGTGATTTAGATTTCTAGGTTTTTTCAATGGATGGTTCTCTTGCTTTGAGACCACGCTGGGGTTTTGTAATTTAGGTTTCTAGTTTTTTTTTTTTTCTATTCCCGTAGTTGGTTCTCTTGCTTCAAGACCACACTAGGATTTTTCTGGGTTTTCAAGGATCAGTAGCTAGGGTAAAAGGTTAAGGGAAAAAGACAGGCCGAAACCTGCTCTGATGCCAAGATAAAAGTGTTTAGGGTTCGAATTGTATGTTTTTTCTTCTCTCTAGGAGGTAAATATATAGTTGTACAATATCCCACATAACAGGAAATAAGAATCCCAATTATACAAGTAATTAACTATAGGATTACATTCCTAAACTAAATGGTTGACTCACGCCAACAAAATTGACTCAAGAAAGAGAAGAGAAATGGAGAAAATAAAAGTTGCCCATCAGCTTGATTTTGTAAGACCATGCCTGTTTGATCTGCAACCTCTGCAAGTGCCTCCCTTTATCCCTTCACCTTTCCCGGCTACTGAGTTTTCTCGTTTCTAGCAAATGTTTTCTCAATACTTCCCGTCTGCTTCCTCACGTAAGACGGATCGACATCGTAGAAGACTGGTAAAACAACATGGTCTGAGGTGGTCCTCTTGCGTTCAAGGATCACCACAAGCTCATCAAGGCACCATCTGGACGACGCGTAATCTTTCGAAAACATGACAACATAAGTTCGTGACAGCTGGATAGCTTTTTGCAGTTCCGGTTTCATATCTTCTCCTCTCTCAAGTTCATCGTCGTCTCTGAACGTGAGAAATCCTGCATTGTTCAAGGCTGTGTAAAGGTGGTCGGTAAAAGTCTTGCGAGTGTCTTCGCCTCTGAAGATCAAGAACTCGTCGTAGCGACAACCCCGAGAAGTGTTGGAATCAGAGGAGGTTCCTTGAGATGTTCGCATAAGAGCCATAGATCGATGAAGAACCAAGTCAATGCTTGTTTTTGGTCTAGCAAATGCTAAATGGAAAAAAAAATATATATATTTCGCTCAAGTATCGTAAGTGATGAGAGGAGGGGGGATGGTGGTCAACAATTATTAGTGGAGGTGTCGGTGCCCATACAGGGGTAAGCCAAATTTTATTTATATCTTCTCGAATATGTTGGTGCAGTATTTTTTTTTAATTATTATTATTATTAAAATGAAAGATGAGTTCGAAATTATTACAATACATTAAGGAATTGGAATTTTCGAATTTACAATGTAAGGGTAGAAATGAAACACCTTGTATATTGAACAACTTGCAATTTTTTTTTATTTATTCATTATTAAATCGTAGAGGTCGCACTTGGTGCGATGGCAAGTGCCTTCGCCCATGAGCGGTAGGTCTCGGGTTCGAGACTTGGGAGCAGCCTCTCCATAAAATGGGGGTAAGGCTAGCCGACATTCACCTCTCCCAGACCCTGCGTAAAGCGGGAGCCTTGTGCACTGGGTACGACCTATTCATTATTAAATCGTGGATGAATAATACCAACTTGGTCAACTGTTATTTTTCATTTCAATGCTGGAAAAGGTCTAGCTTTTGTTAGTGTGAATTGAAATCTGGTTATGAATTCGAAGAAGGATGTATGAATACACACTCAGAGGGAAAAATGGAAATGGATGCTTCACTCTGTAAGTCACAGAGGAGCTACTGCATTTTCATTAACCTTTATCTGATACCCTCTCACACACAAGTTGTGCAAGGAGGGAATATTACCGTTAGAGAGGCTGATGGATCCTTCTCTTCCTATGCTTAGATCACAGTCATTCATCTAACTAATAATAAAGGTAAAAATCCAAATGGCACTCATGGCCTTTACATATCAGAAATTTACACTTGGGCATTCTTTGCACAAGTGGATACACCATTTAACACAAAACTTATTCTAATAATATCAGCTCACAACTTATAATTCAACACTCCCTTTTAAGTTTTGAGCTGATTTCACTCTAAGTTTGTCCATGAGGTAGCTGAAACGATCCTTCGCCAGTGCCTTTGTAAAAATATCTGCAATCTGCTCATTTGTAGGACAGTAAACCAAATCAATGATCCCTTCTTGTAGAGCATCCTTGATGAAGTGATATCTTCAATCAATATGCTTGGTTTTCTGGTGAAACACAGGGTTCTTTGGGATGGCAATTGCAGCAATATTGTCACACTGAAGTGGAGTAGCCTCAGCTTGAAATTCACCGAAGTCTTCCAATACAAACTTGAACCAAATTGCTTGTGCATTTGCCTCTGATGCACTAATATACTATGCTTCAGCAGTGGAGAGTGCTACATAGTTCTGTTTGATTGAAACCCAAGAAAAAATCCCACTGCCAAATGAGAAAGCATACCATGTGGTGCTTTTACTATCATCAATTGAACCACCCCAGTCACATCACAGTAGCCAATTAGAACTGCACTTCTTCCTTTCACATACTCCAAACGATAATCAAGAGTTCCTTTGATGTACCTAAGAACTCTTTTTGCATTTCCAGCATGAATCTAGCAAGTAGACTAGATGCATACAAGCTTTATGAAGCTTGTACACTTTGTCTTCACTCCTCTTGACCACAAAACCATATGGCTGCTCTACATAAACCTCTTCTTCAAGTCCGTTTAGAAAAGTAGATTTGACATCTAGTTGGTATAATTTCCAACTCTTCTATGCTGCCAACGCAACTAGTGTTCAAATTGTATCAAGTCTAGCCACAGGTGCAAAAGTCTCATTATAATCAACACTTGGTTTCTATGCATAGCCCTTGGTTACCAACCTTGCTTTATTCTTCTACACTGATCCATCAAGATTAAGCTTGGTCTTGAATACCCATTTAACCCTAATTATAGGTTTATTAGTTGGTCTGTCTACCAGTTCCCATGTTGCATTCTTTTCAATCATTGCCAATTCATCTTCCTTAGCCTTCATCCATGATTCATCTTGAGCTGCTTCTTCAAACTTCTCAGGTTCTATAATGCAAAGATTGCATTGTGCAAAAACATCATCTAGGTTCCTCCATATCAATGGAGAATGGTCATAACCTTGAGCAGCTTCCAGATTTCTGCTTGTATCAGTTATTGATTCACATGAAGGTGTCAACCTTGATGATTAAGTGCATTCGCTTCTATCAAGAGTTGTTCTCCGAGTACTTGGAGATATAGAACTTGAACCAAACACTGTTTCTGCATTTCTTTCCATACTGGTTGTAATTCCAGATAATTCTTCATGGCTAATCACAGTTACATACTTCTCAGAGGTGTATTTCCAATTCCAGGAAGAGCCTTTATCGAATACTACATCTCTTGACAAAATCAGCTTCCTAGTGACTGGATCATATACCCTATAACCCTTTTCACAAGTTGCATATAGGGTTGGAATTTTTTTCCATGTGCCGACTTACCGACCGAACCAAATCGGTGGGGTTCCTATTGGTACGGTAGTATTTCGGTATATCTTCAAAATCGGTTGGCATGTAACCGAACCAATCATTAATGGTACAGCTTTGGTTTGTGTTTTGTTATACCGGCGGTATACCATACCAACCGATATACATTTTTTTTAATACTTTAAAACTATCTTAGATATTGTTTTGCATGCAAAAGTCATTCAATAGTCCTAGCCTTTAGGGTTTAGAAAATTAAAACCCACACACAACTCTCAGTTTCTTTCTACTCAACACTTCCCGATGATCTCCCGTAGCGCAGCCTCGCTTGCAGTTTTCCTCTTCTCATTGACGAATCAACAGCCACCGCGCTGGTGACCTGCTCTCCGATAACATATTGCACAAAAGATTTGATTTCCATTCTTGCTGACATTGTTGTTGCCTTATGAAGCAATGATTTGATTTCGATTCTATATTTTTAGTTAGTTTAGTTTCTTTTTGCTGTCCTATGATGTAATATCATATGAATGATGCTTACATGGTTCGAATTAATGTGATTTGATTATAATTAAATCATAATAGCTTGTGTATATATGATATTAGTTTCTGCTTGTTACCTTGTGCTTGCTGCCTTATTAGAATTGCAAGTATATACGATATTAGTTGTTGCTTGCCTTAAGAAACAATGACATTCTATATATGCTTACAAAGTTTGTGAACTATTATATAATTTGTATCATATTAGGTGCTACTGCCAGTTATGCCATTTACCAACCGAACCAGCCAACGGTTTCGGCTGAACCAATTTTCGGCAATCGCAAGATAACAGTTGATTGGCAATAGATGATTTTCGGTAATTGTGTATATATGGATGGTTGGTGGCACAAGGAATTTAGCACAGTTTGCCTACCGAACCCAGCCCTAGTTGCATACCCTACAAACACACATTTAGTAATTTTCACATCAAGCTTTTGTCTTAGTCCACTTGGTATATGTACATAACACAAGGAACCAAAAACTTTAAGATGAGCAATTCCTGGCTTTCTACCACTGTAAGCTTCAAAAGGAGTTATATTTCCAAGAGCTCTTGTAGGACACCTATTTAGGATATAAACTATTGTACACTCAGCCCACAAGTACTATGGCAGACCCTTGTCATACAACATAGCTTTTGCCATTTCAACCACAGTTCTGTTCTTCCTCTCCACTACTCCATTTTGTTGTGGAGTATAAGCCATAGAAAGTTGCCTTTGAATTCATTCCTCTTCATAAAGTTTATTAAACTCACAAGATGTGAACTCACCACCGCTATCACTTCTCAAGCATTTCACTTTAAAACCACTCTGTAATTCCACTATTGACTTGACTTTCTTAAAACAGTTTAGTGCTTCTGACTTGTATATGAGGAATACACCCACACCATTCTTGTACTGTCATCAACTAGGAGCATAAAGTATTTGTTACCAGCAAAAAAGTCATTTTGCATAGGACCACAAAGATCTACATGTACTAGCTCTAGAGGATTTCTTGCCCTCCATGCTTGTTCTTTTGGAAACCGTTCTCTATGTTGTTTTCCAAGTTGGCATCCCTCACAGACTTCATCAACTTCTTCCAATTGTGGGAGTCCATGTTTGTTCTTTGTCCTTGAGCTATTGAAGACCTCTAAGATGCAAGTGGCCTAGTCTCTTGTGCCATATCCAAGTAGATTTAGAAATACTTGCCTTCAATACCACCTGATCATTTGGTACCAGTGCCAAAGGATAACACATGTTCTTCTTCATTTCAACTTTAAGTACAAGACAATCTAGTGATGGGCCATCAAAAATATTACACATTTTTTCCTCCAAATAGCAGGTAGTAACCATGTTCATCCATTTGTCCCACACTTAGCATATTCTCCTTCAACTCAGGTACATTACTTCCTTGACATATTTTCTGCCTTTGCTTGCTTCTATCACAAGAGTACCAATACCTGCCATATTTACAAGTTCTCCTATGGGCATTTGAACTTTGCGAACCACATTTGTCTTTATATCAATCAATAGTTTTGAATCACCTGTCATATGGTTGCTACAACCACTGTAAACATACCATTCTCCATTCACCTTTGGTTCATTGATTGTACTATTTGCATAAAACAAGTTCCCTGTCACCTCTACTTGATTAGCATTGTTTGCCTTTTGCACTGGCTTACCTACAGTGCACTCTCTAGCCTAGTGTCCAAACCTTTCACAGTTATAGCATTTAGGCTTCCCCTTATATCTACACTCACCAAAGTGAAACTTAAAGCACACTCTACACTAAGGTTTTGTAGCTTCATGGCCCATTGACTGTGGTGAATATGCAGCTTGTGCAAGACTAGCAGGAAATTTCTGCTAAAACTTAGGTTTTGAATCCCATTTCTTGCCCTTAGAATTCCAATTCTTCTGGAATTTAGATGGACCAGATTAAGCTCCACTTCTATTTTGCCCTTTTGGACTCACTAAGAAGGATGCAAATGCCTTCCCAGTAGTATCAACAGTGTGTAAATCAAACCATTGTTCTTGGCTCTTTAAGATTGCAAT